AACTAATGAGATCAACTCCAAATGATTTCGAATCAAGCACACAAAATATATTTAGAAGTTTTTGGACATTAATTGAAGGATTAAATCTCTTTAATTATGATATGCTTATAGTCAAATCGAGCGATTTGACAAGATGAATATAACGAGCCTAAGATTGCACAATTCTAATATCATTAAGATATTCAAATATTTGATAAATAGTTTATGATCAATGAGATAAATGTGGACCATACTTTAGTTTACTCTTTGGAATAATACTCGACTTAGCACTAATCAACCACCCTTTGGCTGACTTGGCAAAGAAATACTTATTCCCTCTCCCCTATGGAGCTTAATCCTCAAGACATCCCCCACCTTCCTAGCTCCTCCTTATTGGTCCCTCCTCCTACTCCCTCCGCCTAAATTGGAAATCTAACATCACCAAACGAGACTCTTTCATGAATGAGTTCCCGATCTCGTTAGTCTCTCCTCAAATAACTTTTTTGCCAAAGAAATCTTTGAAGGTGCTTCAAAATGGGGGTTCTCTCGTTGGTTACTCGATTGGTTGACGGCCTTTCTACGAAAACTTGCTCTCTACTATTAATTAGTTTTGAAAACTAAAAAGTTCACTTTCACTTCTCTCCTTGGGTGATGGTTTTATCCTACTAAAATTTACCTCTCTAGAAGATTATGACATGGCCTGGTTCGGGGGGTCATGGTTCTTCTTAGGGAAACCTAATCTCAATTACTCCAATGAGGAAGTATCTTCCTCAGACCAAATCCTGTCAACCATCCTTCCCTACATAATAGCCACTATCTCCTCACCCAATAAGTTTGTTGTTTTGCAAATGGAAGGCCCTCCCTCAGATCCAATTCCAAACAAGTCCCTTGCACAATTCTAATATCATTAAGACATTCAAATATTTGATAAATAGTTTATGATCAATGAGATAAATGTGGACCATACTTTAGTTTACTCTTCGGAATAATACTCGATTTAGTATTAATCAACTACCCTTTGGCTGACTTGGCAAAGAAATACTTATTCCCTCTCCCCTATGGAGCTTAATCCTCAAGACATCCCCCACCTTCCTAGCTCCTCCTTATTGGGCCCTCCTCCTGCTCCCTCCGCCTAAATTGGAAATCTAACATCACCAAACGAGACTCTTTCATGAATGAGCTCCCGATCTCGTTAGTCTTTCCTCAAATACCTTTTTTGCCAAAGAAATCTTTGAAGGTGCTTCAAAATGGGGGTTGTCTTTCGTTGGTTACTCGATTGGTTGACGGCCTTTCTACGAAAACTTGCTCTCTACTATTAATAAGTTTTGAAAACTAAAAAGTTACACTTTCACTTCTCTCCTTGGGTGATGATTTTATCCTCCTAAAATTTACCTCTCTAGAAGATTATGACATGGCCTGGTTCGGGGGGCCATGGTTCTTCTTAGGGAAACCATTTATCCTGCAAAAATGGTCCCCTAAATTCAAGTCTATGTGTGATGAATTCACTTCCATACCTCTATGGATCAAAATCCTTGATCTCCCCTTCTCTCTGGAACCCTTCGGATATTTCTAAAATTGTCAGTTATGTTGGACCTCCACTAGTTATAAACTCTCTTACTGCCAAGAAAACTCATCGAACCTTCAGTAGGATTTATGTTCAGATCACTAGCGCCTCTCCTCTGCCTGATGAAATTCCAATTATGTTGGATGGTGAAGATTTAGTTCTTAAATTTTTTTATGATTGGAAGCCGACCCTATGTGATGATTGTGATTTCCTTGTGCACCCTCCGTAATTATGCCCCTCTAACCCATCTCCAAAAGAACAACCTAATTGTCATCCTAGATGTAGAAGTGTTAGCAGAAATCACCATTTTCAATCCTTTGTTCCCAAACCTAAAAACAATACTCCTCCCCATTCCAAAACTAACCCCCTCCCTCACTATCGACGCATCAACCTACTGATGATGTTAGCTCCACATCTAATATCCCTCCTCCTATCCATCCTCAGCCCGCTGCTGAGGTTAGCTCCACTTCCTCAATCCCTAACCCTGACATACCTCCACCCTCCAACTAGGGAAAGGACATTATTCCTAATCTCAATTACTCCACTGAGGAAGATACTTCCTCAGACCAAATCCTGTCAACCATCCTTCCCTACATAATAGCCAATATCTCCTCACCCAATAAGTTTGTTGTTTTGCAAATGGAAGACCCTCCCTCAGATCCAATTCCAAACAAGTCCCTTCACACTTCCAAGGTTCCCACCCCCCCCAAAACAAAAAGCTACATCAACCTCTTCTCCTCAAGCATAGAAGGTCCAAATATGCCAATAAGCAAAACCCTCAGCACCCAAAATTCAATGACCCTTCCGATTTCCAGCTGGAATGTTAGAGATTTTAAAAGCCCTGAGAAAGTAACTGTTTGTAGAGAGCTAGCCAAGTTGATAAAATTAAAATGTTGTGCATCCTTGAAGCCAAAATCCACTGCTCCTTGGCTCTGGACAATTGGTTTATTCAACCCCACAAATTTTTTTGAAAATGAAGCTTGTTGTGATAATTTTAGGGCATCCAGCCCTAGCAGAATACGACTGAAATGGGACCCCTCTTGCTTCTCCTTATCCCCATCCCTCTTTTCTCCCCGAATTATACATGGGCAACTTTCCTCTGGCTCTTATCCCCAATTCTTCTTTTTGTTCTATATGCTACTAATTCTTCTGATGAGAAATCTCTCTGGCAACATATTCAAAATCTAGCTGCCTCTATTACCTCTCCATGAATCATCATTGGTGACTTTAAGTGTTGCAGATTTGCTTCTAAAAATATGGTGGCAATGCATTACCTTTTAGCAGGCTTGGTGGCAATAATCTTATATTCAGTATTAGAGCCCAAGATCTTGCCTCGGTTGGGCTCTTCTACTCCGGTTTCAACCAAAGGGCTGACAACCCTATACACATTAAGTTGGACGGGATCCTGGTTAACTCTGCCTGACAAGAGTGCTATCCCTCTTCCTATTACAAAGAAGTAAATTGCCTCCTTTCCTCTTATCACTCCTCTTGGACTTCTTGGATGATACAATGCATCAAATCTAAATGGCTCTCTAATGGCGAAGATCTAAATGGCTCTCTAATGGTGAAGATGATCTTGGATTTTTGTATGCTAAAATCAGATCCAAGCACAATGCCAATACCAACAAAGAGCTCACTACATCATTGGGCTACTTCAACTCACCTCAAGGGATTGCTCATGCTACCATTCAACACCACTTTCCAACACCTTCAACATTCCTGTTGGGAAAACTATCCCACCTCATCTTTTTGCCTCCCTGACAGCTCCTGTGATAAATGAGGAAATTAAAGCTGTGATTTTCTTTGCCCCTTCTTTCGAGTTTTACAAATGCTCATGGTATATTATTGGTCTTCAAATTTGCAATGCTGTTAAGAACTTCTTCTATATTGGTCACCTTCCCAAAGGGGTTAAAGTTGCTGCTATTACCTAAATTTCCAAGTGCTCTCATGCAACCAATATCACTGACTTCAGAACAATATCTCTTTGCAATATGTTTTATAAAATTCTTGCAAAGCTTCTTGCTAATAGATTAACATCTATTTTACCTATTATCATCTCATGATAGTCAAGCTGGGTTCATTTATAAGAGAAGTTCTTCTGACAACATTTTATTAGCTTCTAAACTCTTGGGTGAACTCAAGGCTATTAAAAGTGACTTCTTCTGTGCTAAATTTGGATATTAAGAAGGCTTTTGATATTGTATCTCGTGAATTCTTGCTCTCTAAAATGTTGCAAAAGGGCTTTTCTGCTAAGTTTATCAATTGGATTAAAAGTTGTATTAGTAATGTTCACTTCTCTATTTTCTTAAATGGGGCGCTTGAGGAGTTCTTTAACTCTTCTAGGTTAAAGAAAGGTTGTCCCCTTTCCCCTTTGCTGTTTTGTATTGTCATGGATGCTTTCTCCAATTGCCCTATGGCCCCTAGGCCTTCCCCTTACTTTCTAGTATCACCTCAAATGGGCTCAATTATAACCACCTAATATATGCAAATGATTTACTTATTTTGGTTCTGCCACCACCCAGAATGCCCTTTCTCTCAATAGTATGCTTCACTCCTTTACAACTGCCTCCGGGCTTTATTTCAATCAGGCAAATATACCATTTTTCTTCTCCCCTCACTCCTCTACTACTTCTGATATATGCTTTATTCTTAGCATTCCCCTAGTTCGCTCTATTATAACGTATTTAGGATTTCCTTTCTCTCCTAAAAGCCTCACTTCTGCTCACTTCCAACCAGTATTGAGTAAAATTTCTATTCTACTTTTTTTTTAATTTCTGCTCTACTTGATGGTTGGAAAGTCAAATTTTTATCTTTTGTTGATATAATACAATTCTTAAATTCACTACTGAAAAGATGGAATAAAATTTGTAGATTTTTTTAATTTCTTTAACTTTTCAACTACACCAAAATCGTACATTTCCAATAACAAAATGGTCAATCATGTTCAAAATAGTGAAATAAAATTTGAATTTCTTAATTGAAATGTGTGTTTGATACATTCCAATATTGTAAAATTTTGTCACCTTTCCAATGACACAAAATCATGCAATTCCTTCTAGAAATGATTGAGGCTTCATTTGGGATAATTTTCTCACTGTTTTTAAAACAACTTTTTAGAACTAAAAAATTGCTTTAAAAAATAGTAAGAAAACAATCCCAAACGAAAGCTGAGTTGTTCCCAAACCATTATAATAATTCTTTTTTTTATCAAATATTTTTTTATTATTTATATTCTAATTTCTCTTTTTTTATTATTTTATTATAATTATTATTTGAGTTATAATCATTCTTTCATAATGAATAAGTCGGCTCAAGAGCCAACTCAAACTCGTTGAATTAAACACAAACTCGAGCTCAAACTTGATTAATTAATCAAACTCAAGCTCAAGTTCAAAATTAGAGGCAACCTAAGCTCAACTTGACTTCTTTACACCCCTAAGACATATTACCATCATTATAATAGGAAAAGTAAATAGTTCAAATTTCAAAAGATATTGAAAGGTTTTTATATAGACATTGTATCATCATTATTACAGAACAAAATAAAGAGTAAGCACTTCGAAGTTGGTGATGATGAGTGGTGGCGTGTGTTTGCATTCTAGAGAGAGAAAAAGATTACAAGATCATTATTATAAATGTTTTAGATCTCGACAAATACATCAAATAAAATAAATGGTTCTTCAACTTGGAATGTATCAAGGAATATAATCTGCACAAACAATGCCCCCTGCAGAAGATAATGCAAAACAAAATTTTACCAATGATATCAAGGTTTTCTCTTGGCTGGATCCACGACCTAACAACGTAGCCCAAACTCTTAATAAAACACAGTTCTCAATAAAGAATTTCAAATAGAAGCAGCACTAAGAAAACTTAATGGGAAAGTTGACTAGGCCTCTGGATTCTCTTAAATGTGGAGTTAAGCTAAATAAATACCAAAAAAACAAGTTGCAGAAGAAGAAGAATAAGGCTTCATTTGAGATTTTTTTATTGCTTCTTAAAGCAACTTTTTAGTACAATTTTTTTAATTTTTATATTAAAAAGCTGCTTTAAAAAACAGTAAAAAAACTGTCCCAAACAAAGCCTAAATTAACTTAAAAAATCACCTCATGGCTTAAATGGCGCAAACACCACAACTGCGTTGTGGCCTCCGAATCCAAAAGAATTAGAAATGGCTGAAATCATAAAAGGGAAATCGGATCAATTCGACTTAATTCAATTTTTCAACGAAAAGAAGTTGTTGGCATTTGTGGTTTCATTGATACTCACCAATATTGACTTCATGTTGCTGCTTCTTGTTAGCCACAGTATCAAATTCGAGTGAAGGCTCGGGATCCTACAGATAAAAAAATTGTTAAAAGTTATTTTATCGCTGTTGCATTCGCTAGTAAAGAGTAGTTCACATGGCATTTTCCTTGGGTTCTCAAAGAGATTACAATTGTAAAAATTCCCTTACAAATTTTACCTTAACTTTTTAAATGGTAAAAAGTCATCCTAGAAAGCTTTTTGATGGATAGAAACCTTTAGGATATGGAACTTACAAGCACTTTGTACTACCTAACTTGTAAGTTGACAGAACTCTACTGTCAAACACGGGAAGAATATGAAAGCTCGGATATGACAAAAAATTCAAAGAATTCCTGTTTCACAAAAATTTTCATTGTTTGGTCTATGCAAGTGCTAGCTGGTTTGGTCACATAAAACAATGGCCTTCTAATGACCAAAACAATGTCCTTCTAATGACCCGGTTAGGAAAGTAGAGGAATTAGATTTGACTTATGTTAAAAAAGGTAGAGGTAGACCTAAAAAGACTTGGTTAGAAAATATTAGAAATGATCTTTCTTTATTAGATTTAAATGAGAATTTAACTTTTAATAGGACGCAATGGAGAAAAAGATTCTTGTAGCTGCCCCCACGTAGTGAGATAAAAGGCTTGATGTTGTTGTTGTTGTTGTTGGTCTATGCCAAGTGCCTAACCAAGAGCAGTTTACTAAACTTAGGATAAAACCTTAGTTTTGGAACATGTTGATCATTTAGAGAAATCCAACTTGTAATTTTATTAAAAAAAAATAAAATAAAATAAAAAACTCGTAATTTTATATGTAAGGACAGCACACTGAGTCATGCAAAAAGAAAAGAAAAAGAAAAAACGGCACACTTACAAATTGGTTTATAGTAGGATGCAACCACCCAGTAGTAATAGCCTTTACACAAGTGATGGCTTCGAAACCTCCAGAAGCTCCAAGGGAATGGCCTATCAAGGACTGCAGGTAGAATTGTTTGAAGGTAGAAAACGTTAAACAGGACCACGTTGTTATAGAGAAAACAAAATGAAGAATATAAAAAGAATTATCAGCAGATATGAACAGGGAAATATGTACCTTAGTTCCATTCATCTTGATGTCCTTCGAGTTATTGAAAACCTTTTTTATAGCATTCAACTCAGCAAGGTCACCAGCAGGTGTAGATGTAGCATGAGCATTTATATAATTAACCTGGAAAATAATAAATAATGCATAAAATTTGAACATCATTCATCTCATTTTAAATAAATTTTCATCTGAAGTGAAAAATAACGATAGACAATGGCTAGAAACATTGAAATAGACATTAAGATATGACCCCAGAAAAATTCTATCCGGAAATGCTAAAACAGTAAGATGTGATGCCACTTCGATGATCGCACAAAATGGTACACATAACTTTGAGTTTGGAATTGGCTTCTTGTGTTTGTTTTTTAAGCATGAGTCGGCGTGCTACGGGCGCCAAAAGATTTATTATGGATTAATTCCTCCCTTCAAAAAGAGTATTTTGCCACCACCGAACCATGAAATAATAGAATCTTGCAAGTACAATAGGTTTGAGAAGTTCAATACCTTCGAGATGATTCACATAGCAACAAGTGTGTGCTAAGGCTGAGGCCACAAGCACAACATGCTTAATGAAGCTTTCAAAGGGGGTTAGAGTTTAGGTATGGGCCAACCCTCTCCTCAACTGACAATCACTTGGGAGTTGCTTCGAATCACCTTCTATTTTTAAATTTATTTATTTATTGATTTATTTATGCTTACTTTTTATTCGAAATAGAAACATGATTAATGTGTTTTTTTATTGAATATCACAAGTCAATTTATGTGTGTTAAAACGAAGATTTGAGAGCGAAAAGCTTGAAATTATTCATTACAATCTTTCCTATTTATAGATCTATAAAAGATATCCTAATGAGGAAATAATAAATTGCAGATTTAATACATAAGTAATACATAAAAATCTTTCCTAAATTCGTTCCTTCATTATGGCGTGATCCATGAGAGTATCCCACGGATTGATCTTTGTGTCCGTCGGATCTTTTGCACTGGGAACGGCTGGATTTCAACATTCCCCCTCAAGCTGGGGATGGGAAATATGGATCTGTCATCCCCAGCTTGTCAATCATTCTAAGAAAGGTAGAACTGTCTAATCCTTTAGTAAGGATATCTGCAAGTTGATCCTTTGATGATACATGGTCGACACTCACTAGACAATTGTCTAGTTTTTCTTTAATAATATGTCTGTCCACTTCTATGTGCTTGGTCCTATCATGCTGGACTGGATTGTGGGCTATGCTGATTGCTGATTTGTTGTCACAAAGTCTCTGGTAGGCCCCTTTATCTACATCTGGATCTTCTTTAGCTTCCCCCAGTTTAAGATTAGGTTCTACGGGTTTTGGTGCTGGTTTACAGGCTAGTTTACATGTTTCTCTTAGAAGATCTTTGATGTAATTATGTTGTGAAATGAATATTCCTTTGCTGGAGTGAACTACTTCAATTCCGAGGAAATATTTTAGTCTACCAAGTTATTTGATGTCAATTTCCTTAGTAAGACTTTTTCTTAAACTAGCTCTCTCCTCTTCATTATTTCCGGTCAAAATAATATCATCAACATACACTAATAATATTGTGACTTCCCTTGAGTCTGAGTGTTTGAATAATAGTGTATGATCCCTTTTACTCTGTCGATACCCATTCAAGAGTATGAATTTAGAGAATCTTCCGAACCAGGCCCTTGGTGATTGTTTGAGCTCATATAGAGCTTTTTTCAGTTGCACACCTTGTTACCTTCAGATTTTTCTTTAAATCATGGTGGTATTTTCATAAATATCTCTTCTTCTAAATCCCCATGCATGAATGCATTTTTCACATCCAATTGTTCCAGGTGCCAATTGTACTTGGCTGCTAGTGAGAGTAGTATTCGGACAGTATTCATCTTGACTACAGGCGCAAACGTTTCTTGGTAGTCAATGCCATATGTTTGAGTAAACCCTTTTGCCACTAGTCTTGCCTTATATCTCTCTAGTGTGCCATCAGCTTTGTATTTTACTAAGAACACCCATTTGCAGCCGACCGATTTTTTCCCTATCGGTAGATTGACGATCTGCCATATTTTGTTCTTCTCCAAGGCTTGCATTTCATCCTTCATGGCATTTTTCCAATTTTTATCAGATAAGGCCTCATAAACATCTTTAGGAATATGAATATCTTCTAATGTAACAAGAAAATTTTTGTGTAACGATGAGAAGTTGTTGAAGGATATAGAATTGTTTATAGGGTATAGGGGAGAAGGTGAGCTTACCATATTTCCAGGAGATGGTTCAGATTCTTGGATATGCTTTGGAGCACAGCTTGAGCTTGTACGTCTGGAGTAAACCTTTCCAAATCTAATATTAGCTTTGTCATTTATTTCCCTATCTTGGGTTTCAGGTGGATTGTTTTGAGGTGGTGGAGGAATGTCAAGAGGTGCTAGTTCATTTTCCTCATCCTTCCTCAAGTTCAGTGTACCCCTGAAGATGAGTTTTTGAGAAATAGGAATTTTTCTCATCAAAGGTAACATCGATAGAGACAAAGGTTTTTCTTGTGGGTGGATGATAACACCTATAACCATTTTGGGTAGCTAAATAGCCCACAAAGATGCATTTGAGTGCTCTTGGATCTAATTTTCCTCGCTCATGCTGTGAATATGAATATAGGCAGTGCATCCAAAGATTTTGGGTGTAAGATTATGATGGGTTCGAAACTCTGGGTAAAAAGTGGACAAGGTCTCCATTGGAGTTTTGAGGCCTAAGGCTGTTGAAGGTAATCGGTTTAATAGATAAGCTGCAGTTAAAAGAGTTTCCCCCATATAGGATTTGGGTGTATTGTAGTGAAATAGGAAAGCTCGGGTGGTGGCTAGAAGGTGACAATTTTTCCTCTCCGCAACCCCATTTTGTTGTGGGGTGTGAACACATGAGGACTCATGGATGATCCCTTCACTTTGGAAGTACGAGGAAAGGGTTTTGTTGAAATAATCTTTGGCATTATCGGAGCGGAATCTCCGTATTTTTACCCCAAATTGATTTTGGATAATGGAATGGAAGATGGGAAGAATGGTGCTAACATCAGATTTATTTTTAAGGAGATAGATCCAAGAGACTCTAGTGCAATCATCAATGAAAGACACAAACCAGCATGCCCCAGAGATATTGAGAATTTTTTAGGGTCCCCATCTATCACTATGAATAAGGTAGAAAGGAGTGTCACATCTCTCACTTTTGTTTGGGAATGAGGTTCTTTTTTGTTTAGCCAACTCACATGTTTCACAATGAAAATTTTTATTTTCTATTTTCTGGAAAAGTTGTGGATACATGTCTTAGGATATCAAAAGATGGATGTCCTAGTCTATAATGATGAAGCCAAATAGTGGAATTCCTATCTACTAGGGATAACATAGAACAACTATTTTTAGATTGGTTTGGTTCTTCCACGTAGTACAATCCTGCTTTCTCCTTAGCAAGTCCAATCTTCTTTCCCGATCTCCGGTCTTGAAATAAGCAATAAGTAGAGTTAAATAAGGCTTGACAACTATGATCATTGGTAAGTTTTTGTATTGATATTAGATTTGTGGATAATTGTGGTACATGGAGGACATTTTTCAGGGTGAGTGAGCAAGATAATATGATGTCTCATTGGCCAGCTACCGTGGTAAGAGAACCATCAGCAATGATGATTTTCTTGTTGTTTGGGCAAGGAGTATAGTTTATGAGGTGGGTAGGTGAGTGGGTCATGTGATCTGTGGCTCCTGAATCAATTATCCATAATTCATTTAGATGATTTCTGGAAGCACTTAAACTAAAAGAAATTAGAGTCTTACCTGAGAGTGTAAGTGAAGAAGAAGCATTTGGTTTTTCAAGAGATATCAGGAGTTGTTTTAATTTATCAATATCTTCTTTATTGAATTCTCCAAGGCTGGACCGTGCTTCTGGCTTACTTGTAGTGTTGTTGGCATATGATATGCTCCTTGTTTCTCCCTTTTGATTCCACTCTTTGCTGGAGGGTTTTCCATGTAATTTCCAGCATGTTTCCTTTGTGTATCTTGACTTTTTGCAATAGCTGCACCAAAGTGAGTCCTTGTCTTTGAACTTCGAGGAATCTTTACCCTTCTCCTTCCATGATAATTCTTTAGTCATCACCATTGCTGAGCTTTCAACTGCCTGCAGTTCTAAAATCACTCCTCGTCGGCTTTCTTCTGCGCGGATGAGGGAAATGGTTTCATTGAGTGATGGCGTTTCCTCCTTGCCCAGAATTTGAACCCTAACTTGGTCAAATTCTGTATTTAGTCCTGCAAGAAAATCATAAACTCTATCTTTTTTAATAAAGTTCTTTAGGATAGCAGCATCTTCCGGACATCTGGTTTCTATGCATCTATAGTGATCAAGTTCTTGCCACAGATTTTGTAGAATAGTGGCATACTCCGTCGCGGTCTTACTCCCTTGCTTTGTGCTTCCAACTTTGACTTTAATTTCAAAGATTTGAGCTGCATCACGAGCTTTGGAGAATGTTTGTCTGGCCGCATCCCATGTCCTTTGCAGTCGAAAGGAACATAAAAGTATCACTAATTTCTGGAGTCATTGAGTTCCACAACCATGACATAATCATGGAGTCTGCTTCATCCCATACCTCAAATTTAGGATCTCCTTTTGGTCCTCCTCAAAGGAGGTGATGTACTTTCCCTTTCCCCTTCAAGTAGGTCCTCACAAATTGAGACCATTTTAGATAGTTCTTCCCATTTAGACGATAAGAAAGTTGAATGTTTTAAAGATCACCTCGTCCATGGTGCGCCATAGACTCCTCATTTTGCTCAATGCTTTGGGAGGAATTAATTTCAGACATTGGGTAGCAATGAAGGCTTCCATTTTTTTTCCTCGGTTTAACAAGCCGACCGAGCCAAGTACGTAGGCTTGGATCAGTAACTTTGGGTAACCCGAGCCCAATCACGCGAGCACGTGAGCACGCGAACTCAAGTAGGAGCCTTCGAGCGGTCCTTCTGCACGATTCCGCCTCTTCTGCCGTAAGCAGTACCTTCGGCTTCCTCTTCCGATCCTTCCGCACGACACCAAGGGGAAGCCACGGCTAGAGGAAGAATCGGCCTTGACTGGTAGCTTCGCTCCTTCGTTCGTCGGCTCGGGAGAAGACAACCGAAGATGGCGTTCGAACGCTCCTTCTCCGGATACGCCTGGACGTTCGGCTCTTAGCAGTGATCGAGTCTCGGCAGCGATCGAGTTGTTCGTCTCATCTGGGTCGGCAGTGATCGAGTTCGACAACTTCGGCCTTCCTCTCGGATCGGAAATTTCAATCGAGTTGTTCGTCTCGTTTGGGTCGGCAGCGATCGAGTCTCGGCGACTTTGGCCTTCCTCTCGAAAGTTCCGATTGGTGCTTCGACGGTCTAGGATCGTTCTCCGACAGCAATTAAGGCTGTTGGCTCTGATACCATGTTAAAACGAAGATTTATTTGAGAGGGAAAAGCTTGAAATTATTCATTACAATCTTACCTATTTATAGATCTATACAAGATATTCTAATGAGGAAATAATAAATTGCAGATTTAATACATAAGTAATACATAAAAATCTTTCCTAAATTCGTTCCTTCATTATGGCGTGATTCATGAGAGTATCCCACGGATTGGTCTTTGTGTCCGTCGGATCTTTTGCACTGGGAACGGTTGGATTTCAACAATGTGGTATCTTATTTAATCAATAAAAATAAAATTAGCACCAATTTGATTTATCTGAGTCAGTGTGCTCTACATAGGAACTTGTATTTGATTGAATAGTAATTTCTACGATCCCATTGGACTTTGTACAATAGTTTTTGTTTAATTCTAAACTTACATATATCACAGATTCAAACCTTTTCTGTATGTAAATGCCACTCCCCATCCCCCAAAAGACATAGAAACTGAAAAAAAAAAAAAATGAACCCATGTCTTGTTCATAAGCAAGCAGGCGGTATGAGAACTACAGTAAGGTATACATGTTCAAATTTAATAATACAACAACAACAACTAAACAACATCATCAAGCCTTTGTCCCACTACGTGGGGTCGGCTACATGAATCCTTTTTTGCCATTGTGTCCTTTTAAAAAATCAAATTCTCATTTAAATCTAATAAAGAAATATAATTTCTAATATTTTCTAACCAAGTCTTTTTAGATCTACCTCTACCTTTCTTAACATAAGTCAAATCTAATACCTCAACTTTCTTGACCGAGTCATCGGAAGGCCTCCGTTTCATGTGACCAAACCATCTAAGGTGACTCTCTCTAATCTTATCTTCCACTGGTGCTACACCAACCTTTACATGTATATGCTGATTTTGTATTCTATCTCTAAGCATCCTCATCTCTACAACACTTAATTTAGCATTATGCTTCTTTTTTAATGGCCAACATTCAGCACCATAAAGCAACACTTAACTTAGTATTATGTTCAAATTTAACAATAACAGTTAAAAAAAATTAGGAGAATATGATTCTATTTAAATCTCTAATATACATTGTTATTAAGGTGTACTAGTCTCCCAAGCTACCAGGCCATTCTACTTTCCAAGCTACACTCACACGAACAAGGCAATGAAACTTCGAAGCTACAGTCACAAGAACAAGGCCAATGAAAAAAGTTTCCACATGGTTAGGTGTGAAAACGCCAGCTCACCAGCACATTGTATTACATGCAACGCACTGCCCCAAAAATTAAATATGACAATAAATTGCACTAATGTGCATTCAACAATAGCAAACAAGCCTTCACAATTAAAGTTTTTCTAGCTTATAATGAGAAAAAAATTGAATGACAGAACGCAGAAGACAACCCAGCATGGATTGGAAAAAGAAAAAGGGGCAACAGAGCAAATACGCAAAATATGAAAATTAACATACCTCTTCTGGAGCTACACCAGCATCTTCAAGACTTTTCTGTATACAAGTAGACAAACCAAGACCATCAGCCCTGGGATCAGTCATGTGATAGGCATCACAGTTAACAGCACCTCCCAAATACTCTGCAATAATTGGGGCGTCCCGTTTCATTGCATGTTCAAGGCTTTCCAAAACCTACAGTAGGGACACCATATAAATAAAAACTTGAATTGAATGACCAACGTGACAAATAAATAGACTGACCAACGTTATAAAAAAAATCTCATTCTTTTCTGCCAAATAAAAACAGCTACATCTCGTAACGGTTTTCACCAGTACGTTTTAGGAGCAGAACAAAAAGGTAGCCCTACATATTGCTTGCCTGTGAACCGTAACCTCGCATGTTATGTTGTATTGCGTCATAGCAATATGGACTTGACTCTAACTAAAAACAAAATCCCGATTCAAATTTCATGGCTTGATTTAGCATTCTATTGCAATAATTAGGAGTGAACATTCAGTTATCTACATTGTTTCTAATAGTAATCAAAACATTGTTCATTTGTTTTCCATTCCTTTCCGCTAAAATTACATGAATACTCTAGTTAACAAAGGTATAAGAGGTCTCATGGGAGAAATAAAAGATATCACTTAAAAATAGAGTTATACCTCCCATGCAACACCTCTCCACTTAGAACTTAAAACAATCATTTAATTTCAATCTTAAAATTTTGCTAAAACTATAGCTTATATTCTGATAATGCAAAAAATCATTATAATTCCTACCTTACATTGGCAGAAATTTGCTACTCAAACCTAAAATATTTTGCTGCATTATTTTTATAAGAATTATAGTATTTCGCTTCTATTTATTGTGCTAAAAACTACAGGTATCTGCTAAAAATGATGTATTTCATCTTTGTGGATACATAATCCTTCTAAAAACAGAATATCTTTACATCTTTATAAGTTGTTAATTTATTTAGATTTCAGCCAATTGATTGATTCCTTAACGTTTTATTGATGATCAAAAAAAAAAAAAAAAAACTTTCCACCTACGTTCAGTGTGAATCTAACGATGATAAAAGAGGATCAGCAGCATATCTCAGAATTAGCTATAATAGTACAGTAAAGTAAGTACACTCAAGTAGTAGAAATTATTTTTCTAACTCTTCTATGATGTTTTCTGAATTTTATTTTTCATCTCAATTTTACCATTTCCAATTCTTCAATTATATTCATATTTAGGAACTTTATTTTTACATTTATTTTAGAGTAAATCTCTTTACTTATAAATATTGACCTTTGAATTCTTCAAACTGTAGTCCTCTTCTGTGTACTGCAGGGATAGTCTTGCTTAAAGTTTATATTACCATATATACACCAATAAATTATGTCCCTATATTAGAATATTCCTAAATTTATATTCGAGAAGTATCATATCATATTATCATATCGCCATATTTTCTTATTTGTCTAAAAGTTCGTTAAAATGCACATCATAAGTACCTATTTGAACATATTCGTTTTCAGCGAAAAAATATCAAAAGGCACTATTTAAATAGTTATCCTGCGCCTACAATCTAAAATATGCTTGCAAGTAGAAAGCAAGGAGTATATGCAGTTGTAAATCAACTCTCACAACCCTACGATCAGAGCATGAACATAGATATTCAATGTGCACTTTGTATTACCCATCAATTTTGATATCACACAATATAATCAGTAAGATAAGAATGAATCAACTAAAACTTTTAAGTACATATGGCATTATAGAGCAAACTAATTGGATTCAAAGGCTTTGGACTTGCAAACAACCATCAGTTGACTAAGGAGATGTTTTAGGCATTTAAGGGATGTCAGAGCAAGATCACCTATGCATTTTAACTCGTCAGGACTCCAATTTAATGTTTTCTACACAACAATCCCCGATTTGGAAAACACAAGCCAAACGAAGCATGGATTACCCATCCGCTGCTGTGAAAATCTTTTATAACGCAGAGCCATGTAATGTACTCATAATTCTACACAAAAATTATGGCTCGTACAAACAGTAGATCATTCAGTGCACTAGGATGGTATAATTGATAGAAAAGCTAATTTGCCTCTTGATAATGAATTTTCTATCTGGGGTAGAGTAACAGAAACCATGCCAACTAAATTTGAAGTTTTTGAGATAGCCTTGATCAACAACTGTTTCAAAGCTATAATCCCCCCCATAATATACACATCTTCATTCGGATCTTGTTGAATGATATTGTGCAATCAATGAGACAATATCCAACTACAACTACACTAATTATGTAGCACGATAGAAAAGTTTAGTAAAAATCTATGATGCACCGACACGCCTCTTAAAGAGGGTATGCAGTGTCAGACACGGACACGCGTCGGACACGGCATGGACACGTGTCCGACACGGCATTGGAGTGTCGGAATTTAAAACATTAAAATTTAAATCGGACAAGCGTGTCGGACACGCGTGTCCGGTTATTAAATGATAAAATCATCCCTTCTATTTAGCCTTTTCGCGAACGAGAAGCCCTATTTTTTCGATCCACGAAAGAAATCTTCTAAGGCGGACCAGGAGAGCTCACAGTCGACGCCAAACAGAGCCCGCTGCCTTCGCCTCCCGTTCCTTCGTCATTTCTGCTCGGCCAAGCAGAGCTCGTCTTTCTCATTCCTTCGTTCTTGCATTATTTCTGCTGTCATTCGAGGCAAAGTTCGCAATCAAGGCCAAACAGAGCACCTTCTGCGCGCAAGAGAGCCAAGAACTGTAAGTGAATTTCGCCATTTCTTCTCTTCATTGTTGAAAAACCTAATGTAGATGCTCGGTACCGCTCGGTATCGCTAGGTACATGATCGGTACCGCTCAGTACATGCTCGGTACTGCTCAGTACATGCTCGGTATTGCTAGGTACATGCTCGGTACTGCTCAGTACTGGTAGGTATATGCTCGGTACTGGTAGGTACATGGTCGGTACTGCTCGGTACTGGTAGGTACATGCTCGGTACTGGTAGGTATAGGTACATGCTGGGTACTGGTAGGTACATGCTCGGTACATGCTCGGTACTGGTAGGTATATGCTCGATACTGCTAGGTACATGCTCGGTACCACTCGGTATCTTCACATACAAACTTACGAACTTTAAAAACATGCAAACTTCAAAATTACTCTTACAATAAAATTTTGTTCCCTGGAAACCCCCGCAGGGGCGCTACCCCTTGACCCCGCGACCTGACCGGGCAGGTTGAACCCCGCCAAGGGGCAGCGCCCCCTTGGACCCCCGGCAGACCAGTATATTGTTTTATTCATGTTGTGATTTTTTTATTTCATTTCATGACATTTTAATTCGATGTATTCATATGCATGATTGGTTTGTTAGCAAAATGAGCTCGGTTGCTGGCGGGAGTGGATTAGGTGAAGGTTCAAAAGAACCATCTGTAGAAACTGATAAGCCATTATGGATTCATGTAACAAAGTTAGGAAAAAATATTTGAAGGAGGAGGGAATGTGTCATTCAAATGCAATTATTGTGGTGGCACCTACAAAGGATCTTATTCTAGGGTGAAGACACATCTACTTAAAATTTCTGGCCATGGAATAAAAATGTGTCCTAAGATTACTACGTCACAGTTGATTGAATTGAACAAACAAGTTGATGAAGCTGAATCTAGGATCCAAAGGACACTCCCTAAAGAGGTACCTTTGCCATCTACTCATGGCTCATCTCATACTTCTTCCTCATCTGTGAGAGTTGATCAAGCTTTATCATTTAGAAGTGAAGGATATGAAACAAAAAAAAAAGAAGAGTGGCCAGTAGTCCTCTAAAGAAGGCTTTTAATTTGCAGCAGCGAGAGGAATTGAATGGTGAAATAGCAATGATGTTTTTTTTCAGCGGGACTTCCTTTCAACCTTGCAAGGAATCCTCATTATAAAAATACATTCATTTTTGCATGTAACAACAACCTCGCAGGATATGTTCCATCTGGCTACAATGCATTAAGATCGAAATTATTGGAAAGAGAAAGAGCACATATTGAGATATTGCTTGAACCAACAAAAGGAGTGTGGAAAGAAAAAGGTGTTAGTTTGGTGTGTGATGGTTGGACAGATCCTCAAAGAAGACCCCTTATTAATTTCATGGCCACTTGAGAATGTTAGCTGTTGCTGAAACTCATTTTGCCTCTGTAATAATCATGTTGAGAAGATTCAAACAAATTAAAAATGCTCTTCAATCTATGGTGATTAGTGAGAAGTGGTCTTGCTATCGAGAAGATGATGTTGGGAATGCAAGGTATGTTAAGGAAAAGGTCTTAGATGATTTGTGGTGAGATAATGTAGACTACATTTTGGCTTTCACTGATCCAATTTATGATATGTTGAGAGAGGCTGACACAGATAAATCATGTCTACATTTGATTTATGAGATGTGGGACTCTATGTTAGCAAAAGTGAAAGAAATTATATACAAACATGAAAGAAAGTCACATGATGAAGACTCAAGTTTTTGGAGCATTGTCTATACTATTCTTGAAGATAGGTGGAGCAAAAGCAACACACCTTTGCATTGTTTGGCTCATTCATTAAATCCAAGGTATATTTATACTTATCTTTTAAATTAATTTAAATTTATTGGTAAATGAACATATAATTTTATATGATTTGTATTATTTGAAGGTATTCAAGTAAAGAATGAATTCAAGAAGACCCTCAACGTGTCTCACCACAAAAAGATTTAGAAGTTTCAAATATGAGAAAGATATGCCTGAAAAGATATTTTCCAAATGATGAGGAGAGAAGAAAAATTAATATAGAACTTGTAAAGTTCTTTGAATATTTAGAGGATTTTGGTGATCAAGAATCTTTGGTTGATAGATGGAGGATGAATCCAAAAATGTGGTGGTTGATTCATGGAACTTTAGCACCGCTTCTTCAAACAATAGCAAAAAACTTCTTGGTCAAGTATCATCCTCTTCCTGTTGTGAGAGAAATTGGAGCACATACTCATTTATTCAATCAATGAATATGAATAAAATAACTCCACAACGTGCTGAAGATTTAGTTTATGTGCATACAAATCTTTGTCTTCTATTAAGGAAAACCCCACTTTATATAACAGGTGATAACAAGATGTGGGATGTTGCTGGAGATGGGTTCGAGTGCCTTGATGATATGGGATTATTGGAGGTTGCAAATCTTTCTCTAGATGAACCAGAGTTGGAAGCAATGATATTCAATGATGATGATATTGAAAGCCAAAGACCAACATCTGAATCTAATTTTATCATTCCCTCTATTGAGTAGTTAGACCTTCATGTTGTATTAAATGATTTTTTGCTTATATTTTTGTGTTTGTACTAGACATTTTGTACTGAACATCTTTATGTTATAAGCTAAACAAGTTATCAACTTATCATGAAATTGATTTATTATTGCTTGACATTTTTACTACAATGTCACCTTAATTTTTATATATTATATTAAAAAATTATTATGCCGTGTCCACGCCGCACCCGTGTCATATATTTTTAAAAATTGTCGTGTCCCGTGTCCGTGTCGTGTCGTGTCCATGTCGCCGTGTCCGTGTCGGTGCATGATAGGTAAAAATTATTGATAGCTAAACTGAGCGGGATAGAAATAAGAATATTGAGATGAATTTAAGGAAAAACTTGAAAAAATAAATTAGGAAATAATCATAGTAATGGTAGGAGAGATGAAAATAGACTTGGTGATTTGGACATGAAGGGTAATAAATTCCCCTCTTATACAAGTAGATAAAATTAATCTCAAAAAAATTAGAAGGGATGGAGCTATAAAGTGACACAGATAGAAGTTGCTCAAAATGTTTTGTATAGAATAAATTTAACACCTAATATAAGTCTAAGTAGGATGAATATGAGGATTCATAAAGCTCGTCCCCAAATAGTTGGGATAAGGCTCATTATGATGATGCTATAATATGAGGTTAGAATCAATCTTGAATGTGATGCAGATGTAATAGACGATAATTCAAAGATGAAGATTCAGGCATTGAACTATGAGCTATATAACAAAAAGATGCAATACAAAGAGATAAAATGACAGATATTGAAAACAATGTATATTTAAATTTTTGCCAAGTACATTGACAATCAATTCGATGGAACTGAAAACACATTCAGTCTGAGAAAGTATTCTATGACTATCCTTGCTGTAAAGTTAATTGCTGAAAAATTAGTGACCAACATTACAAAACTAATGGTATGTACACAACTATCATAAACAAAGTTTGAATAAGCACCGAAGACACCAATGTAAGATTAATGAGGATACCAGATGCAGATGATGAACCATACAAGATATGCCAATACAGAAATATGTCAAACCTCCATAGTAAATGAATAAGGGTAGTTATAGACAGAATACCAGTACTGCAGAACCTTCACCCATAACAAATCCATCACGACCTTTATCCCATGGCCTTGATGCAGTCTGGGGTTCATCATTCCTTTGGGATAGAGCTCTACAGGCAACAAATGCACCAAGACCGATGGGAATGATTGAAGCTTCAGTTCCTCCAGCTATCATTAAATCAGCATCTCCTCGACGAATATGATTTGCAGCAGCATAGAAACAGTAATTGGATGTAGCACAAGCAGTAGAAATTGAATAGTTTGCACCCATGAAACCAATGTCCATAGCGAGCAAAGCAGAACCCATGTTGGGAATCACATATGGAATAAAGAATGGCGTTAATTTTCTATAGCCTTTATCAATCAGAGCTCGAACACCATCAGAAAACACAGAAACCCCCCCCATGCCTGTTCCCACTAGAACACCAGCTCGAACTTTGTCAACCTGTTATGATGAAAAATTAATCAAATTAAGTTAAAGAGATGCTATACGAACAAATTAATTCGAATAATATAAGGGGAAAAATGCAGCAACGAGTTGTTAGGGAACCAAAATAGAAACTTGAAAGCAACCATGTCAAAGAATTTGAAGGAATATCATAAATTTATGAAGGAAAAGAATGAAATCCATAATTGATATAGTATTGTGACTAACCAAAACAAAAGAGGTTAATTTGACCTCCAAAATAATGAGAAATTATGAATCAATTAAACAATAGGCACTGAAATATTCAGTAGGAGTGAAAAGCTTTGTATAAGTTTTAGCAAGGAATAATTGCCACTTTTAAATCTCTACAACTAATAAAACCATTTTAAACTCAACCCCTTAGCCATTAAACATTTTAGGATAAAGTATGGTATACTTTTTTGTCCCATCCAACTTTAATTTCAAATATCTTCATCATAACGTATTGTGTATATCCTTATCTTACTCATCTCACGCATGCCATGAGCTCTAGACAATATTTTCCCATTCTCCTCTCGCTCACCTGGTGCCTTTACTCTGGCTATAACCTAGAAGCATCCAGTTATTACTTTCAAACATGATTATTATTATATGGCTGCTAATAATGGATGAAATAATAATCAATAACTACTACACAATAATCATGTTGAGTGAATTTAACAATTATATCTACTAATAACCGAATCAAATTATATAGTAACTAGAATTACCCAAAAAAACATAAGAATTATGGAGAGGAAGATAGAAGAAATAAAAACGTTGAAAAATAATTTGTTGTTTAAAAAGGTCTACCAGGTTTTACTCAAAAAGAATGGGATTAAAAATAAATAAAGGTCAATTCATGAGCCTTAAATTAGCTCTTTTGATCAAAATCATTGATTTCATTGCTTATGTCAAACCTATATGTCATAGATATCATATTTGATTCAAGAGACTTTGGGATTGGCGATATGTCCCATCTCCCTTTAGATTTTAAAATAATTGGTTAGTGTTGAATAACCGCCTACTAACATAACTATCCACTAAACTAGACCGCTCGAAACCGCTTGCTCCCTCTAGGGTTCTCTATTTCCCGTACGTAGAAGACTCCCAAACGACACAACTAAACGAGCACCCCTCTCGTTCTCTATTTCCTGCACACAAGAAACCGTCCTCTCCCATGGGATTCTCACGCTGCAAGAACCCAATTACTCCCATTCGACTGTCTCATTTTTCTTTGCCACAGACAAGTAATCCGAAGACTCCCTCCCTTCATCTCCCTGAGTTGCATGCAAAGCCGAAGCCGACCGGCTCTCCCGCTTGCTTCTCCGTCCTGCACGCGGAAGCCCAGCCATGCAACCCGTGCCGATCCGACCCCGCTCCTACGTCTCCATCCCAGGCCACCCGTGCTCGACCTGACCCACTTATGACTCCCGTCGACTATCCCTACCCAAGCCAACAACAGCATGCAAGCCCCCCAAGCCTGACGCCCCTCTCGTTTTCACTAAATTGCACGCATGAGACCTCATAACCAAACTCGTTCTCACTCTCTCGGTTCATTCGCACACAGAAACCTCCTCATACGCCTGACTCTCTCTCTTTTGTTCATTCGATTGCACGCGGAAGACCCCCTCTCACTCTCGTCTCCCTTAGCCACACAAATCCTAACCACAGGAACTCACTCGATCACTCATTCTCTGTATGATGCATGCAAGAACAGGAGTCGAAGATGGCCGCTCGCCTCTCCGTGTTTTTCGCACGGTTCTCGTCGACCATCCCTACCCAGGTTGAAGCCCCCCTCTCATTTGCTCTCTATTTGTTTAGCCCAACCAACCATACACAAACCCCAGCCAAATGAACCAGTCCATCTATCCAATATATATTTATATATCAATACAACAACAATATCAAGCCTTTATCCTACTGCATGGGGTCGGCTACATGAATCCTTTTTCTTCATAGTGTTCGGTTAAGAGTCAAATTCTCATTTAAATATAATAAAGAAATGTCATTTCTAATATTTTCTAACCATGTCTTTTTAGGTCTATCTCTACCTTTCTTAACATAGGTTAAATCTAATATATCTACTCACCTAACCGGGTCATCGGAAGGTCACTCTCTAGTCTTATCTTCCACTAGAGCTACTCCAACCTTTTCACGTATATGCTCATTTCGTATCTTGTCTCTAAAAGTAAATCCACTCTTCCACCTGAGCATCCTCATCTCTGCAAGACTTAAATTAATATTATGCTTCCCTTTTAATGGAAAATATTCTGCGACATAAAGCATTGCAGGTCTAACCACCATCTTATAGAACTTTCGCTTAGGTTTGGGTGGTACTTTTCTATCACACAACAAGCCCGATGCATTTCTCCACTTCATCCATCCAACTTGAATTTTACTAATAATATCACCATCTATTTCACCATCACTTTGAACAATAGACCCAAGATATGAAAAACGTGTACTCTTATTAATGACTTGATCGCTCAAAGTAACAAACCCTCCACGATATCTATTACTACTAAAATTACACTCCATGTATTTGATTTTAGATCTACTCAAAAGAAAACCTTTAGACTCTATGGTTGACCTCTATAATTCAAGTTTACCTTCAACGCCCTCATTAGTCTTATCAACAAGAAGGATATCATCAGCAAAAAGCATACACCAGGGAACATCCTCTTGCAAATCTATAGTAAGAACATCCATGACTAAAGCAAAAAGATATGAGCTTAAGGTTTATCCTTGATGTAATCCAACTGAAATTGGAAAATATTTGGTCAAACCACCTTGTGTTTAAACACAAGTAACATCTCCAACATACATATGCCTAATGACTTGAATATAAGCATTATTAATCCCTTTCTTTTTTAGAACTCTCCATGGCACTTCTCTTGGAACTTTATGATATGCTTTCTCTAAATCAATAAATATCATATGAAGATCTTCCTTTTCTCTCTATACTTCTCCATCAAACCTCTCAATAAATGCATGGCTTCCATAGTAGACCTCGGCATGAATCCAAATTGATTTTGAGAAACATTACTATCACGTCATAATCTATGTTCCATAACTCTCTCCCATAATTTTAAAGTATGACACATCAACTTAATTCATCTATAATTTGCACAATCTTGTGCATCACCTTTATTCTTAAAGATATGAATCAACACACTCATTCTCCATGCATCTGAAATCTTTTAGTCTTCAAAATAATATTAAAAAGTTTAGTAAGCCAAAAAATTCCTTCATCTCCTAAGAATTTTCACATCTCTATTGGAATATCATCAGGTCCAACAGTTTTCCCACCCTTCATTTTCTTTAAAGCCTCCCTAACTTCAGTTTTAAGAATACGCTGATAAAAATAAAAATCTTTATTTTTATATCACCTTTGTTGAATATCTCTTCTAAAAAAATACTTTTTGATCTTCATCCTTAAACAATGTCATTGCTAGGTCCCAAGTCCTCGATGAAAAAAGTGGACGGTTGTGTTAGGTAGTCGACAGCCAACGCAAACTTGCCAAATAATCATGACATGAATCCTATAATATTTATATATCATTATAAAAAAAAAATTCTGAAATAAAAATAAGTTTTTAACTTGACAATGACAAAACATTAAAAAAAAAAACAAATTCCCGTTTTAGTTTAATAAGCATTATCAACTCAAAGAAGGTGCACTGGGTGCAAATGCATCCAAGTTAAAGGTACTAAATTGATTGTCTAATATGTGTCAATCAACTTTAGAGAATTGCTTTAAAGCACACATCTAGCATGTTGTTCAACTGATGCGGAAATATTGTGTAGAACTTTTAACACGAATCTTTGCAGATCATCAAACCTCATAAACTGTAGTTCATCAGCTGTAAGTTATTAAGGTCTTAACAACTCGATAGAAAGGACAGCTTTACGTTAAAATCATACAAGCATTGCCGTGGTCTGAACGAAGTAACGAGCCATAAACTCCTAATACAGAAAATGGAATTACAACATTACCTTACTAAGAGCGGCGCTTCCAAGTGCTAGGTCAGCGTTTTCTAGTGCCTTCTTCCCGCTCACGAGACAATATCTCATGCAATCATCAAGCCTGCGGTCGTTCTTCCCGTCAATATACCCTTCCGACGAGAAACCCCTAATCTGTCCGGCGAATTTCGTAGGGAACACCGAGGCATCAAACCGATCTATCAATCCAATCCCGCTTTCCCCCTCGAGCAGGCGCTCATAGAACTTATCCACGTCATTTCCGAAAACCGAGACCAGCCCCATCCCCGTGATCACAACCCGCTTCTTCGGATCCGTCTCCCTCCTCGGAGCAATCGCAGCAGCAGCTACGGCAGCCCTCACCCGCGCCGACCGAGCTGCCACCCTCCCATATCTGCATCTCCGGGTAGCAACCGTAGGAATCGATGGACAGCCGCGGAGCCCCTCCGATGTAGGGATTTGTAAAGCTGCAGGGGAGAGAAGCGTCTGCATTTCGTGTGGAGGAAGACGAAGAAACCCTTCAGCGAGATCTTTCAAGTAAAGGCCGAGATGGAGGATTTAACGATATGGACGACGAGAGCGCTCGAAGGCGGCGATGTGAACGAGGTAGAAAACGAGTCCCACCCAACTGGATTAGCTGGCTCGCCAAGATGTCTAGGAGCAAAAATTAGTTGGGGATTTCTCTTTTCGCTTTCCCCCTTAGGGAACGTGCGCGGAGAGATTTTAAATTAATTTTATTTGTGAAAGACGTACATATTATTTTATTTCATATTATTTATATATTTAATATTTAATATTTAATATTACATATCTATTAGAGTAATAGTATTTGAAATGAAATATTAAAGTTTAAAGATATTATGGATGATAAGAATAAATTATATTAATGACATATTTAATATTAAAATTTTAAATAGATAGGAATGTAATATTAAAGTTTTAGATATTAAATATATAAATAGCATTAAATAAAGTGATATTAGTTTATTTATTTATGGAGAATTGAGAACTATGCTTTCTTGAATTTATTGGTAATTATTTCCCCAAAAATTTTATAAATTTCATAAAAAAAAAAATATTGGTAATTGAGATTAAGTCAAATAAAATAAAAATGTATATTTCATAAATTGAAGAGAAGAACACGTAAATCAAAGGTGAAGCAAAAAAATATTTATATAAATAGAGCATAAAAGTTAATGATTTTGAAAATTATCTTAATTTTTATTTGGAATTGCGACCTATAGTAATATTTTTAATTTTTTTGTATTTAAGTTGTTATATAAAGCCAATTTTTAATTTTTTTAGTTCAAAAAATTTATGTACTAAAAAGTAATAAGAAAAGTGTCTAAAAAAATCTCTGTCTCACTTACATATTGATTTATGCTCAAATGTTTTTGAACTTTTTCTTATTATATTCAGAAAAAATAGTCTCACAATATCATATTCCTCTATTTAAGTCATCAATTGTTATAACTATTGTATAAAATTGATCCCAATTTTAGACCCTCGACTTTATATAATAGCTTCTAATTTAGTTACAATATATCATTTTGAATTAATTTTGTACAGTCAATGAACTATTTTGAAAATTAAATCATATTAATAAAAATCTCGCTATATTTATGATTTTTTAAAATCATACTACTGACGTGGCGTATTCTAGTTAGTCTCTGGACAACGTTCTACGACAGGCCTGTTGACTGTACAAAAATATAGAACAAATAATTTTTTTTTCAAAGCAACCGACATACCTCCACGCCGGCCCCATCTCACCAAAACGACGTATCTCTTCGCACGATAACCGATTACTTCACGATAAAAGGGAGAAGTAGAGAACAAAAAAAAAAAAAAATATTCGCTAAAAAAAAAAAAACAGAACTTACGCTCATTCACTCCGACTCCGACGCTCTCGTGGTCATTCGAATTCGTTGCTTCAGAGGAGAAGTCTAGGGTTTACCCTTCATCTTCTCTTTTCGTCATTACTGTTCGGCTTCGTTGCTTCGCATGCAGAGATTGCACGCGCCACTTCTTGCACTCACTGTGGCTGTGCGACTTCGGCTACTTCGATCCTGTCCGACTCCGTTCCTAATACATATACATATATTATATATTATATTATATTTTATAATGTTATATTAAATAAAAAAGAGACAAAGAGAGATAGAGAGAAATAAGAAATCTTTCAAACATGTGTCGAAGACCCCGGCCGTCGTACCTTAGGTCCAACTTGGATGGTTTGAAATCGAAGACCTTGTGCCATCGACTTGAAGTCCAGCCGAGATGGTTTTAAATTTTGAAGACCCGCGGAATTGATCTTAGATCTAGGCGGATGGTTTTACAATTTGAAGATCCCACGCATTCGATCTTAGATCTTGGTGAGATGGTTTAAATTCGAAGGCCCTACGCCGTTGACCTTAGGTCCAGGTAGGAAGAAATTCCAGCAAAGGCCGTCCCGATTTCTCCCTCGGTGGGGAGGAGACGCCGGGAGGCTGCCGAAATTTCCTCAAAATCCAAAGGGAAATTCAATTTGAATATTGAATCAACTAAAATATAAAAATTGATTTTGAAATATTAATTAACTAATTTTAGTTAATTAAGATTTAATAAAATTAATCTGATTAAGATTAATCAAAATATTTGATTAATTAAGATCTTCAAAGTCATATATATCGTCAAATGCATGAGAGTGGAGAAGCTACAAGCACTCATTCTCCTCCTGTTCAACTAACCCAAATGTTTCTTTTAAGAGCTTTTGAAATTCAATTTTTTTTAAAAAAAAAAAATTCAAGAGTTATTTAAAATATGATAGTAATTTTAAAATCTAAGAACAACTTTGAAATTCAAGAGTTTTAAAATCCGAGAGCCGTTATTTATTTTTTTTTAATATATATTTTGGTTAATTAAATTAATTAATCAAAATTCATTTAAAAAAATAAAAAATAAAATAAAATATAATGTATTAAATAAAATGAAGAGGAAGAAAGAATGTTTTTTCACTATTTTGACATATACAAGCTCTCAACCTCTCCAAATAACTCTCAAAATAATAAACAGCTCTCCAAAGCTCTTATGTACAAGCTTCTACGGCTACTTGTACGCTCTATCTTTTGCAACCGTAAGCCTCAACTACTGCAACCACTGGCTACGAATACCTACAAACAAACATATGAAGAGTCAGTGCATCACAAATAAATTGAAAGAATGCTGATAAATCTAAGCTACAACAGGTAGAACAAAGTACTGAAATGCAAGAAAAGCTGAGTACGAAAAAGCTAGTAGAGCAAAAGTGCTAGAAAATAAGAAGAGAAGTGAATCACTGTAGTATGAAAAAGACTACAAGCACGGATCAACTAAAACACCAACCCAGTGTCAAAACCTCAAGGTGTCAAAACCACGAACTAAAACTAACTTACAACCCTTTCAAATTCTCTAAATAATAAATCCTAAACAACTTACATCTTCTTAACAAACACAATCAAATTCAAACCATAGGGTAGCCTTGTTTATAAGAACTTGGTTGTAAGACCCAATATTTGGCAACTTTCGTAGGAAAGTAGTAAGCCCGACCTTAGGGGGAAGTAATAGGTAAAAATTAATCTAACTCCTAACCCCCAATTAAAACCCTCGGCCACTTCTAATAGAAGTCGTAAGTCCAACCTCTGAGGGAAACATTTAGGTGATAATACAACCCTAGACCCCTCATTTGGGCATCCTAGTCTAAAAGGGCTAGGTTGTAAGACCCACAACTCGGGCCACTTAGCTTAAAGTGCTAGGTCATAAGACTCATCATTAGACAACTTCTAAGGAAGTAATAAGACATACCCAACTAAAATAATTGGGCTACCTTCAATGAAGGTCATAAATCCCACTAATTCGGGCTACTTTCTATGAAAGTCAAAAGTCCTAAACTAAAATTCAAATCTTTGGGCATCTTAGTCTAAAGGATTAAGTTGTAAGACCCACTTTTTAGGCTACTTCCTAAGGGAAGCCATAAGTCCTACCCAAATAATTGAAACCTCCGGGCAACCTCGCTATAGAGTTAGGTTAGGTTGTAAGACTCGTCTTTGGGAAACTCATAAATTGAGTAATAAGTCTCAATTCCAAATTGAAATCTTGGGGCTACTTTCTACGAAAGTTATAAGTCCCAAACTAAATCTAAAATTTTGGGTTACTTTCTACAAAAGCTGTAAATTCCAATCTAAATTCAAACTCCTGGGTTACTTTCTAAGGAAGCCATAAGTCTCGCTCCAATCTAAACTCCCGAGTTACTTCTAAACGAAGTCATAAATCTCAAACTAAATCAATCTCTGGATATTCTAATAGATGTAAACCCCAAACACCTAACAAAATTAAAACCACATCTAACCACTTCAATTTACATGGGATCCCTGAGAGGAGGCAACCAATAACTACTAATCAAATTCCCTGGACACTACGATCAATGATTGTTAGTGTTGGTAGATTGAAATCTACGGTAAACCCAGGACGACGGAACCATGGGATCTTGATCGGGTTTACCTTCATCTTTCCCACAATTGAGACTAAACACTTAAAAATTTATCCATCCTTAATAGAGAGTCTCTCTTACGTGTTAAGAGGGGTAATTAACTATGAATGCTTGTGCTCATAGGGAGTAAGTACCCCAGATCTTTAAACCTTGATATTACCCTTAGGGGAAATCTGGTTAACTACAATCTAACTTAAGGGAAATGGAATCCTATGACTACAAAGCGGGCTTCATGCATTCGTGTCGTATTTTTCTTGAGCCAACAAGGCCTCCGCACAGAATAATTTCTCCTAGTTCACTCCTTAGTGGAGAGAGAGAGAGAGAGAGAGAGAGAGAGAGAGAGAGAGAGAGAGAGAGAGAGAAGGGGACTAAAGGCCAAGACTGCGAACAGGTGAATCTCAGATGAGCAAGTTCCACGCAGAATCCCTTTAAAACGAGAAAGAGCACAAGCACATGTGAGGGCTCACTGTTAAGTTACCACTTACTAAAGCATCATTATTAATCATCATGATCCATTTACACATGTAATGATACACACACCACCTTTTCCAACTGACCACTAACGGTCATTTGACATGCTCAGGGAACTTTTTCCCTTTTTCTCTCTGTTAAATACCGGAACGCTGGAATGCATAAGCAAGCTTTTTCCCTTCAAGTTACTGTTCATCTTATACTTCTCCGATTTCTAACATGGTATCAGAGAGCGATTAAGCTTCACCGCTGATCCATTCTTCTCTAATGGCGGATCAAGGAGCTTCGTCTCAGACGCAGTCCGCCTCCTCACAACCTATGAATGCGTCCTCTCTATCTGCTACTATGGCCGACTTCACCGTCCCACCCCCTCTCAAATTTCTCATGTCGAATCTCAAGCTCTTGGAGCATAATTAGCTGACCGTCGACAACTATGCTTTGTGGCGATTGCAAATTCATCAGGCCTTCTCTGCTAATGGATTTAAAGGCTATATCTCCGGCGAACTACCATGTCCAGATTCTGTCAGTGATCAGAAACTCTGGAAGTTAATTGATCAAAACTTGATCTCTGCCCTGTTTTCCACCATTTCACCATCTGTTCTACCATACATTCTGCATTTGAAGACGTCTCACGAGATATGGACGACTCTGGAGCATCGCCTGCAGCCCTCCAACCGATCCCGTGTGATTCAACTGAAGAATGAACTCCATAATGTGCAGATGCGGGATCAAACCATTTCGCAATACCTGTCGCAGATAAAATCTCTGGTTGATAACATTGCAGCTGCAGGATCTCATATTGATGTTGAGGACATCATTCTCTACACTTTAAAGGGACTTCCTCCTTCTTATAACCCATTCAAACCTGCCATTCGCACCTCCCCTCACACCATCACCCTCGAGTCCCTCTATTCTCTATTATACAGCGAAGAGATCAATCTTCAATCAGAGCTTCTGCAAGAGACCACACTGTCCGGTGACGTTCATGCTCTCTACTCCTCACGAGGATCAGGCCGCTCCTCCAATGTCAAGAACAATAGAGGTCGAGGAGCTTCTTCCACTTTTATCAGCTCTTCCTCTAAAGCTCCGTCGCCACCTGCTCGCACCTCACCTCGGCCTGTATGTCAAATCTATGGGAAAACCGGTCACTCAGCCTTAAGCTGCTGGCATCGATACAATTCGAATTATATAGCATCTCCAACGGCTAACACCAGAGCTTACCTCTCTCAGCCTCAGTCTGTACCGAATACCGACTGGATTTTAGACTCTGGAGCTTCTGCCCACCTCATGCCTGACATCCTCAACATCCAACAACCCAGTTCTTACAAAGGAACAGACTCTGTTTCTACAGCAAGTGGCTCATCCCTTCCCATTCATCATAGTGGATCTGGTATTCTTCCATTACTAGACACTAATCGTAAGCTCAAACTTGCTCATCTTCTTCATGTTCCAAATCTATCACATAATCTCTTCTCGATCTCCAAACTTGTTATTGACAATCACTGTTCTGTTTCTTTTGATCCCGGTGAATTCATCATCAAGGATCTTCGGGACAACTCAACCATTCACCATGGCCATAATCAAGATGGTATTTATCCCCTCAAAGTCTCCTCATCCGCAGACTACAAAGCTCTTCACACCATTTCCTCTCCGGCGATTCTCTGGCACGCCCGTCTCGGCCACCCTCATCCTCGGGCAATGGCTGAATTATCAAAAATTATACCTGCTTTAGGAAATTGTTCTTTTTCTTTTACTTGTGTTTCCTGTAACATGGCTAAGAGCCATAGATTATCTTTTCCTACTTTAAGTACTCATGTATCAACCCCTTTTAGCTTAATACATTCCGATGTTTGGGGACCTTCCTCGGTCTCCTCTCTCAATGGCTTTCGATATTATACTGTTTTTATTGATGATCCTACTCGTTACTATTGGTTGTATCTAATGCATACTAAGAATGAAACCTTCACCAAATTCCAACAATTCATTCGCATGGCTAAAACTCAATTTAATGCTCAAATAAAAACTTTATGATCCCACGCCGGAGGTGATATATTGTGGACCTCAGAAAAGAGCACCGCGTGAACGGGTTGATCGGAAGGGACAGATTGGATCGTGCATACGACTAATCATTGAGGATAGAGGCTGTCACCAACACACCCCGATGGGTAGTAATATACACGACCTAATCACGGGTTTCCCCCATCCGATACAACAGTTCGAATGGGGTTTAGTAAATGTGGGGCCAAGTTTCCCACGGGCGCAAGCCCCCGTAGTTAATTACATCCCAGGCTGGAGCCTGAGAAAACTCTCGATTAAGGATCATACATTATCCTATCCTAAAGTGGGATCGGCACGGAGGTATAGACTAGGAAATCCTACTCAAAGGGAAGAAAGGTCCAAAGGGCTGAATCAGCATGCGTGGTTCACACCAGCATTCGGAGGCTCTAGGGTACTAGAGAGAAACTGGAGAAAGGAAAATCAGGCAATCAATCACATGCATGAGAGAAGGATGGAGGTGGCGTCATCCTGCGATGCGGATAAGTAGGATTTATTGTAAAACCCTTCAAAAAAGCTGATTTTTTTAGTGCAGTTCGTCTGTACGAACTGGATTTAGTACTGGACGAACTGAAGAAATTTGTGAAGAAATCTGCCATTTTCGTCTGTATATGACATATTTAATTTAGAAGTATATAATAAAAGCGAAGGATGAATGTTTTAATCATATAACATTAAAATATATATTTTTAAACACCAAGTCAACTTACGTTTGTGTTTTATTATTTTTAAAAATAATTGAGTCCAGTGCCCGATTCACATGCATCATAAAATAGGAATTGATAAATAAACTGTAAGTCATGAAATTGATAAAGGATTTATCAAGCCAACTATGGCATAAATGTAAAAGGGTAAGAAAGGATACCTTGTAATCAAGATAGTAAGCGTGCTGTTACAACAATACAGGTAAGATAGTCAGTTGTCAGTCATTACAGAAGGCAGTGACATATATTGTATGGATTCAAGATTGTTACCTCCCACATATCAAGAGCTATAAGAGGCTGCAATAAACACGAATTATCAGTCATGGTCTCTGGATTAGGCCTGATCAAAGCATGCATAAATCGAATTCAACTTACAATATCATCAAAAACTAGTGGACAGACAGCATTTGATGTTCTGACCACAGCTAGCCTTTTCTCCTCTCTCTTCACTGAGACAACAAAATTAGCAGTGTTATAAAGAGCAGGAAGTATCATGTAAGAAACGCCCTTTTCTATAATTTCTATAATTCTCATTGCTGGTTCTCTAGGCCAGCAAGGGATATTTTTAGAAATTCAAGTTGTAAGGCTGCATGATTTGAAGAAGCCAGTACTGGCAAATTGCAAGAATTTCAGGAGAGAAAGAAAATGCTGTCTACAACATAAAGTTGTTGACATGTTTTTCCCCCCAGACCTAGGTCAAAGAGTTGACCTGGTCAAATTGGACCAGGCTAGACCCCAAGACCCTTCCCAATGGGTTCAGGGAGTCAAGCCAAGTTTGCTTAGTCCAGACCCGGGCCCTAGGTCAACCTGGTTGACCAGGGGTCATTTGACCCTTTTGAGTCCAAATCAGTTTTAAATCAATTCTAGGGCTTCATAGCTCGATCCACTCATATCTTGGACCTATTTGACTAGGGTGACCAAGTCAATCATTGACTTGGTCAACCCAAGTCTTAAATAGGTCAAAATCACCTATTTAGGTCATTTAAAATCCATTTAATGCAATTAAGGCTCTATTAATGATTTCAAATTCAAACCACGGCCCCCTAAGCCTGGTTTCCCTCTTAATTGGCTCGAGATTCAATCTAGACCCTTGATCATGAGTCTAATGCTTTAAATATAATGATTTAGGGTTTTCTAAAGACCTTTTTTTTCAAATTCTCTTTCTTGGAGCTCCAGAAGCCGACCTCTCTCTGGTGTGAGCTCTCCCAACTCCCTCCTACTTTTTCCAAGCAAAGTCCATTAGCCAAAGCCCGCCAGCGGTGAGATCTCCCGCAAACAGAGGTCAAACACCTTCCACGACGTTTGGTGATCGATCAAGACGTTAGGAGCTCGGGGATCCTTCTGCAAACTTATTCGTGGACAATCTACAAGTGCAACAAGCCCATAAAACGGATTAATTCGTCCACAAATCGAGGTGATATCTCTAACCCTAGGTAGAAGCACATAGGGTTAAATAGATTTATGTAAAGAGCTTTTCAGACCGCAAAAACTATACCCCATGAATGCTCTTCATTCATAGAGCCTACGTTTCAAATTTCAATTGATTTGGTGCACCCGATCGCGAGAACGAGCCGAAATAGTGGTCTAGGGCTTGGGTTCGGCTTCTCATCTGTTAGGGTTTGATCCCAACTGTTGATCTCGTGATCAACAGTTGAGATCAAGTCGTTACGCGGTTCGGAACGACCACTGGATTCGATCTCGCGGACAGACCCTCTGTCCGACGCGATCACGACCGTCGGATCAGAAACGTGCTCTATCCGACGATGCCCGCGCGTTGCTGAGTCATTTAAGTCAAAAGCGCGTGGGGTCCGCCGCCCTTCCAATCATTAGGCGATGATTGCGCCTGATTGGCCCGCCGTCTCGTGTTTTGCACGGACCAATCCAGCCCTGCCACGTGTGTCGCCGCCGGTTTTTATTAAATAAAATATTATAAAATACTTTTAAAATTATTTTTAAATACTGATTTCTTCTAAAAATCACGAAAAATTCATTTTTGAGCCAAGAAATATGTATAATATATCGAATCGCTCGTATTCTCGGTTCTTTAATTTAACATTAATTTTAATTAAAAAAA